TTAATTTGGCTAAATTTACCATCAATAGATTTTATTTTATATGATTTTTTGTTGTTAGAAAAACTGCAAATTATTCGAAATGTATCATAAAAAAATAGTAATTAAATTTAATAGAATTGTAATGAAAAATAAGTTTATCTAATTATGATGAAATAATTTGTAGTTTTTAGAAAGATAAGAAATTTCATTTCTTGATTTGTTTTAGCATTGTTAAGTATAAATAATTAGTTTCTCTTTAGAATATAATTAATCTTTTAATATGTCATGGATCGGCAACCTTTTTTGGAGCAAGGAGCCTCTTTCATGCCAAAAACGTCTCGTTACAATTGTTATTTTTACTAGTAAAATTGGGAGCCGCAATTTCTTATTAAAGATGCACGCGGCTCTGAGAGTACTGATGCATGCTAAAAGAATATACAGTGGAAATTCGCTTAACGAGCAAAATGAATTGTAAGAAAAAGAACTCGCATAACGATTGACGATGAGAAGAGAAGCCCCGGAATGCGCGCGTGTTACGTCATTTTTCAAACTTATGTACACATATTATGTGTATTTTTGGATATGTTTCACTAAACGAGTAAAAATCCGGAAATTTTAGAAGGTTTTAAACTCGTTATGCGAGGTTCCACTGTATTTTTGAAATTGAGAAGAAGTTAATAGTCTATAGATACTTTTATTATAATAAATTGAATAGTATTAATTATTATTATTGAAATTGTCAAATAATATGAAAAGTACAAAATAAATATATTTATATAATCATAACTAAATAATAAATGATAATTTGTATTAGCTAAAGAATAAAAGAACTTCATATAATTTCTATTAATTAAGAGTTATGTTATGTAATAATTATATTAGTCGATTATATCTAGTTATACCATACATTTTGTATAATATACCTTAACATATACCTTAACATATCCCTAATCTTCTCATATTTTTCATCGTAAAAATTGTCTTAAATTGTTAAAATTTTCTTAGTGTGTATTTTATGGAAAAATCCATTGATTTATAACAATAATTTAATAACATTTTTACATTAATCTAGGTGATATAGTTTATATGTTTACCAAAAATATTACTCCACAATTTTACTTCACTTGAAATATCTTTTTATATTCTTATGACCTTACTTGTAACATAATTATTATATTATGAATTTCATTATAGAAATATTTTTTAAAGCCTTCAATCAAAATTTTCATATTTATTTATATATGATCTATTTTTTTAAATATTCTGTTTTTAATACATTTATTTCTAAATTAAGTTTTATATTGTTAACACTCGCTTTTAATAGTTGTAATTTTTCAAATCGAGTCATCTTCTAAATACAGTAGAACCTGTCCTTTTTTATGCGATTTTTTTATGCGGTATATGAAATCCAACCAATTCCAACGGCGTTGGCACCATTATAATGTTTTCTATCAGTATGCTCAAATGATTCTGTTAGTCGATTTTGAACCAATTCATCACAAGAAAATGCGCGTTTTGGATTAAATTAAATGATTCCATGTGTAATTTAATTATTTATTTTCTTTGGACGTACTTTCTCATGAATTTCGTAAATCTTTTCTAAGTTTCTGTAATGTATTATACAAAGTTATTTGTTATATGTAAGAATTTATAAAAATTTTGAATATTTTTTTTTGTACGATTATTTTATGCGGTCCGTATCTACCGCAGAAAGAAACTGTTTTACTGTATAAGGAAAGTTTTAATCTAATTTAATATCATTAATTCAATAATTAATACAGATTTCAACTTAATTTATGCTATTATGAATCATTTATAGTTGACTTATACTATTTGAGATAAGATTTTATAATATCTTTCTTGTCGAGTGAAAGATTTATTACATTAAGAATACATTTTACATCAATTATAATACAAATCATGAATGAAACATATTATTTTAAACATTAATGAAACAATTTAGTAAAAATGATATACAGTGGAATCTCGCTTAATGAGTTTAATCCGTTCCAAAATTTCCGGATTTTTACTTGTATAGTGAAACATATGCGATCTACTATCAACGATGCGATCTACTATCAACAAATTACATTCAGTTACATTATTAATTTTAATAAATTGTAAACAAATTTTCGTACAATTTTTGTTTAAAAATTGATACAATAATAATAATGTATATTAATTGTTAATGTAATTTCATTTAGTTTATGGAAATAATCTATTTATAATATTTACAATCAATTTATCTCAAACATTCAGCAAATTAATTCAATTTTTGTACAATAAATTATTTTGTTGTTAATTGTTTAATTGCAAACATTGTTTATTACGTAAACAAATATTGTTCCACATCTGTTCTTAAAATTCTTTATTTAATTTACGATATGTAAATGTGCTTGTTAAACTGAGTATTTCCAAAATTTAGGTTAGGTTTAGGTTTCATATTATGTTTCTATTCAGTAATTTACATACTGTCCATTAATTATACTTTGTAATTAAAGCAATGCGTAAAATCAAGAATTACAATAAATAAATTGTTCTTAATTACAACATTATAATAATCATACACGTTTAAACAGCTCTTAAAATAGATTAAAACTGATTTAACAGAAAATCGAATTGTTACAAATTTAACTTGTAGTTATTAATGTATTTAATAATAGGTTAGTTTTTCTTTATTTTTCAATTTTTTATTACGTAACTATAATTTCACTGTGGACATATAGTACTAAACTTTTTGTTAAATCAAGACACTGATAGAACATTTAATAACACTCAAACGCTTTCAAGTTTGCTGAAATCGGTTGAGAACAGCCAAAAATTAGAAAGTTTGTGCACTGAAACTGACGTGAAACGAGACACCGAACGTAAACTTTTCAACTTACCGTCTGACACACATTCAGCTGCACTTTTCCATTGGACACTTGTTGATCTTCGGGACATCGCGGATGCATTCATCTAATTACCGGTATTCTCGTTACACAATTTACAGTAGATTTTCCCGCATTTTCGTTGCGAATTTCTTGCGTTATTTTCGTTCGTTCACGTTGTGACGCGCGGCCATATTTTTCCTTCGTCTAATGGTGATGGCGCATGTCCAGCAGCTGCAGCTTTCTAAACCCCCTCGAACCGAAACTTTCACAATTTTTCAGTAATACCAGACCACCCTAGAAAACTTTTCACTTTTCCCAAAAAAAAATCTCTCTTTCCCTTTTTACTATCAGCAATAATAAAAACCTAAATCAATAAACAAATATTGTTAATTTTGAATAAAAAAAATTGTGAAAATATATTGAATTAATTTATATTTTTTATATAGAAATTTAATTATATTTAATAATAAATAATTATCATAATAATTAAAATTTTAGTAGTAAAATTTTAAATTAATTGTTAAACAATTAATGGTTGAAAACTGAATTCCAGTTGCGGTTTTCTAACTGAATTGAAAACCGGCATTTAGTCATAATTTTAGTATTAACAAATTATTACTAATTGCTCTATTAATCATAGAAATAAAATGGACTAAGATAAATTGAAATCAATTTATTGTTGTTAACGTGAACATTTCTAACAGCAATATTTTACAATTGCGTTGTAATTTACAGAATTTAGATATTTATTAATGTCTGCTCTATCTTTTTGTAGTATTTGGTTCAAAATATATTATTGAAATTTTTATAGGTTTAAAAATTAAAAAAAAAAAATGTAGAAATTTTGCAAAATTTAAAATAATTTCATATAAATTGTTTATTACTTTATAACCTGATGATAATTGCTAATTGTATAGAAAAACGTTTTGAAAAAAAAATATTCATTAGTTTCATGGTTTTAAAAGTAACATTTCTTGAAGATTCAAATAAGTTTTGATATTTTTTTTGTAATATTAAAAATATTTACATCATAGCAATACCTCGCATAGTGCGGGTAACCGTATAAAAATACACAAGATTTACTTTACTCACATTTATGTATAGAAAATATTTTGTTTACTAATTTATTTAGAATTAATTTGTACTTTTTTCAATGAAAACTTAGTTTATTTTGAAATGGGACTATAATGAATCCGGACTGTTAGAAACCGTACTATGCGAGATATTTCTATATTTAGAGACCAAAATGTTTTATTTTTATTCTGATAATAATTAAAAATTAACAAATTGTTAAATTATTTATATAGAATTTTATTATAATTTAATAGTTACACCGTTTTTGAATCATTTTTTAATATGAAATAATGAAATTGTAATTAAATCCATGTTATATACTTTACAATTCTGATTTTAAGGCAATTTTTTTTAATTGATTCGTAAGATAAATATTGTTGAATGTCTTAATTATTAGAAGATTTTCTAATGTAAAAAAAATGTTACTAATTATAAAAGTCGATAAAAGTCAATTAAAACAGAGAATGAAGAAATGATGTCTTAATTAGTCGTATAATTATTAAATTACAACTAACACCATTTGCGTTTGTTAATTGGAAACAAGCTTAGATCGCATCGCCATAAATAACCGAGCGGCAATTTGCATTCAATTACGAACGATGTGGATAATACCTAGATAATACCTTTCTTCCCGTCCGGCCGTCCGTTCTATGATTCTTGCACTTCGAGTGGGTTGAAAATATATTAAGAATGCAAATGGGGTTTCTGTAGGTGGATTAGGGGATGAAGTGGGCGGAGTGTTTTTGTATCAATTACAAGCACTTAAGGCAGAGATAAATCCATAACTCACAAAAGCGCTCGCTGCAGCTTGTAATCCTTCATAATTCCCATCGCTTCAGGCCTGTCTAAACATTTTACGAATTCACCCAAAAAAAAAGGGTGCAAAACCCTATTCACACCGAAAAAGGATACAAAACTCCATTTGTATAAAAAATATTTATTTAAAATATTATTTATGTATAAAAAAATAGTAATAAATATATCTTCTCACTTAACTAGACTAGATCTTCGCTTACTCTGTACATTTAGGTTGTTTTTTTTTTTGATTATTGCTCCAGGCAATTTTGCTGATGATTAGTTGCAAGGCATTCCAGCGAATTGTTTGTAGAGGTTCGCGCTTTGACCCGGAATCGAAGTCTCCTCGGAGAGACGCAGGTAATCCTGCGATGGAATCATATGATTCTGATTCATGTTCATATCTTCAGCGCTGAATTCGGGTAATCCAACGAATTTGTTATCCTTTTTGGCCTTCATCCTTCTATTCTGGAACCAAATCTTGATCTGTCGCTCCGTCAAGCAAAGAGCGTGTGATATTTCGATGCGACGACGTCGCGTGAGGTATTTGTTGAAATGAAACTCCTTCTCCAATTCGAGGGTTTGGAAACGCGTGTACGTCTGTCTGGTGCGTTTGTTTCCTTGGGTGGTAACATCTGAAATTAGAAGGTTAAGAATCTTGTTTCTTTTTAATGATGGTTTTGTGTATTTACCGGCTGTGGCTTTCATCCATGGATAGTAATTCGGGGCTTCTTCCTTGGAGTCTTTGGTTTCGGGAGGGTTGTAGTATGGGTATACCAGTTTCTTACCGATGGGTTTGGTGAGGAGGGCGCGGAGGGCTGGGGAATCGGAGGAATCGCTGTTGGGTGAGGTGATGGGTTCTGGGCTGTTGTTGTAAGGGCTAGTGGATG